GTGGGTACTCCGGGCAATCCAAGCCAAGACTGCTTTGCAAGCGGGGCACCCCTGAGAACTGTCTGTCCGGGGTGGGGGTCGGGACCCTTTAAGCACAGCCCTCGGCTAGCCTGAGACAGCATCTCCACGCTCTAAGTCCTCCTCTGATGCCCTGCCGGCACTGCTTCCGGCCATCCTTAACCCCGGTTCAGGGTCCACTTAATGTGGACATGCTAGTTCGAATTAGCAAAACGCTAATTCGAACTAGTTTTTTAGTCTGGATCCGTTAGTTCGAATTAGCTTAGTTCGAATTAACTAATTCGAACGAAGTTAGTTCGAATTAACGTTGTAGTGTAGACATACCCTGAATTATTATAGTCAACAGAAAAAATACCTTTTTCTAGTTCAATTTGGTATGTCAGGGGGCTGCCCCCATTCTGGGGTGTGCCGCCCAGGTCTGATGCATACTTTAGACCTCCCGGACCTGGCTCTAAAGTAGAATGCCCCTCTCTTAGGGGAAATATGGCCCACTGGCCTAGTCTTTTATATGTAGGCTCGGCAGCCTAGTCCCTTAAAGGATCCCTCTCTCGCTGGGGTTCTGGGAGGAACCCTCCTTCTCCACCAGGCCCCGACCCAGGGCCCTATCAGTGTCGGGTAACTCCCCCCATTGACTCAGTGGGGAGTCCTTCCCGAAATGCGCCAAGCCTGCCAGGGCCTTTCCAGCTCCCCGCCCTGGGTCGCTTCGTACCCCCTGCAGCGGTCCCACCTGCAGGCATGAGTCGGGCAGCAGTAGCCCGGCGCGTGGGGTAGCCATGGCAGGGGCAACGGCTGTGTCCAGGGAGGCAGTACTGCAGCTCCAGCATTGGGGGTGGAGCCTGGGCCTGGCAGCAGTGAGGTCAGCCGGTCTGGCACCTGTCTCTCTGTCCGTCTGACTGTCTGTGGTGGCTGGGGCTCTGAAGGTTGTGTCTTAGCTCCTTCTCCTCCAGAGGTCAGCCCCCACTGAGCAGTTCTGCAGCCCTTTAGAGCTGGGCTGCATTGAGAGCATACCCAGCAGGGCTGTGGGAGTGGGGCCCTCTCAGCCACCCGGACCAGTTGAATTCCCTGAGCTAGAGTGCGGGGCGGTGCCGCCCCATCACAGTATGTACCTTTGTTCCTAATTTGTACATGGATTAACCATGATTGTTTGTCTAAATTGGTCTGCAGCATGTATGAACAGTCTATTAAAATGTGAAGTAATCATTTGCACATTGAATTATTGCAGTTAGGCATGGATTTGAAGTAACTATCCACACATTAAATACATATGAATAATTCTGAAAATCCGAGTTTACTTTGCTAACTCCTCCATCTCCTGTTGAACCCCAGATTACAAAACAGCTCTAATTTCCAAAACTGCAGTGCTAATTTAAAATAAGCCCAAACCATTCATAGGCTAAGACAAAAGCTGGGCTTCCAACTTCCCTCGTGCCACAGGTTAAATTTCACACCTGGAGGTAATGTACATATCTCCATTAGTCTAAATCAATGAAACTTTCTGTAGATTTCAAATGAATCATCGAAGGACTCGTAGAGAAGGACAACACAGCCAAGGTCTTACAAAGCCCATTACAATCCCTCAGTGACTTTGCCTACGAGAGTAAAACCAGCTTCAGGTGCTGGAAATTTGTAACTGGATGAGTTCAAAGGCATCAAACCTCATCAGCAGTGGCCTCACACATTTCTGTGACTCTCTCAGTGGATATTACTGTAGCCAACCTTTCCTGTGTCCTGAACTCTTAAAGACCTTTCAAATGACCTAAAGCTTTGTGTGGCATTTATGTCTCATTTGCAGATGGCCAGCCTGCAGGTTGGAAGGAAGATCTACTCGATTAATGAGGACCTGGTATTTCTGCGTCCATTTCAAGAAGTGGAGACCATCTTAAACCAATCTTTCTGCTCTCGTAGGCCACTTAGACTTCTGGTGGCCACCAAGTCTAAAGAGTAAGTGCCCAGAGAGACAAAGATATATGGGTATCCAGTACGGTGAGCATATTTCCCTGTGCTGAGTATGGGACACCTGGTGACATTCAAGTGAGTTTGATGGCAATCAATCAGAACTATGCAGTACAAATGGTCAAATTAACATCAAGTTGACTGAGCCTCTGTGAAAAAGAAATACTGAGTAGCTGGAGTCTTTTTATTTACCTTCTTATCGATAAGGTGTGACTGGGGAGAGGTGATACACACACACACACACATTCCTGTACAACTCTCTGTATTGGATGGAGGTGACTGACTGACCTGATTCAACCTCCCTACCCAGTGCTCTCCACCCTTCATTCCTGGCTGGGCCCCCGGGATGAACCCGCCTCTCCTGGTATTGCACCTTCTCAAGGTGACCTGTGGAGGGCACCGTCACAGACCCCCCCCACCCACACCCCACCAAATCAATGGCAAGCAGCAGCCTTTCAGCACTGTGTGGGAAGGAAAGAATGGGAGCCGCCTCCAGCTAAAGAAGGAAATGAGAGTGGGTGTAGGGATGACCTGGCCCATGTTTTTCCAGAGATCATCTCTTCCCTTCCCTACCCTCCCACTCCCTCATGGCTAGAAGCAGCTTGTCTCTTCCTACTTACACAGTGTAGAAAGGCAGCTAACACTTCCAAGCTACTGCTGGCCACCAACTTAACCCAGAGGCCTTCTGTCCTTTGGGTACCGTTTGGGTAGGAAGGGAGTAAGCTATGAGGATGCATTGAGCCCTAGCTTCCAACGTACACATTGCCAATGCCATCTGTCATTGTTTGCTGGGGTACACAACCCACAACTTCGTTCTGAGCCAAAGGGATGTGAGCCAGCAAGACCTGTGAGTATCTGGTATCTAGGAAAACCTCAGCAGGATTTATTGCTTTGAACGGAGAGTAATTGGGGTTATGTCCCATGTGCTCCCCCTGCATGCTTTGCTCAGCTGTAGCCTTCGTTAGACCTAGGTCTCCAGGCAGGGGGGCTGACCTACCATATGTTCAGCTTTCCTACGTGCTGCAGTGCAGAGACATGTGCACCAGCTGTCTCTCATTTTTAATTTGCACAGACTGTAATGACATTCTAGATAGAAACAGAATGTGCAAAGCTGCTTGGTGACAAGTCAATTCTCTGCTCGTGAGAGCTTAACTACTTTGTGGTTTATTGTTTGTTTCTTCTTCACTCTGACTGTCGCTTTAATACATGGCATATCCATGTGGGGAGTTAATGAACAGCATGCTGGGAAGTAAATCTACAGTGCTGTCGCATGCCATGTATTAATTGACCACGTGGCCCCTACTACTGTGCACTAAAAGTTCCATAGCGCACTTTGACCTACAGCTGCATGAAGCATTGCACAGCATGCATGGGTGCGGTGGGTTTGCATTGCAATTTGCCATGCTCTAGCTCTCCATATGCACCAGTCCAACAAGAAACATGGACTAGAGTGGGACATATTGTACTCCAGTCAGGTCCTATAATGCCCACATACCTAGAATTAGCCTCATCAGTTGCAAAATAACATTATTCTTCATATGAATATGAAGAATATTCATCAAAGGCCTCATTATTGCATGTGGTACATACTACCACAAGCCCTCTGGTTTAAATCCCGTTCAAGGTCAAAAGTTGTTACCATTAGAGACTCTTTGGTGGCCTCCTTTGTGAGTGTGCATGTATGGAGGAGGTTTTCAATTCAGTTCCCAGAAGACAGATGTCCACATCATAAAATTCCTATTCCGAACTACCGGTACACCTCGAATCCTAGTCCAAACTACCTAGTTCGAGCCCCGTGTAGCCGCGCTGCACGGGGTTCGAACCAGCGGGGTTTTAAAAATGGCGGCTCCCCGCTTATGCAAATGAAGCCCGGGAAATTCAAATCCCGGGCTTCATTTGCAAGTGCGGTATGCCTACATTACCCTCCTAGTTCGAACTAGGAGGGTAGTGTAGACATACCCATAGAGACTAACAAAAAATATATAAACAGTATAGCATAGCACAGCATAGTTTAGTAAATATATTTTTGTTAGTCTCTAAGGCACCATAGGACTACTCATTTTTTAATGTTACAGACTAACATGGCTACCCATCTGAGACATTCAGGTATATTTAAAACTGTTTGCAAACAGTCTAGGAATTGTATTGAGCCCATAGCACACAGTGGTATGACCTTACTAAAAAACTGAAGGCAGCACACCTCTGTCTAGCAGTGTACATAAGAACGGCCATACTGGGTCAGACCAATGGTCCATCTAGCCTAGTATCCTGTCTGCTGACAGTGGCCAATGCCAAATGTCCCAGAGGGAAGGAACACAACAGGTAATCCTCATGTGATCCCTCCCATCACCCATTTCCAGACAAACTTAGGCTAGGGACATCATTCCTACCCAGCCTGGCTAATAGCCATTGATGGACCTAACCTCCATGAATCTATCTAGCTCTTTTTTGAACCCTGTTAAAGTCCCAGCCTTCACCACATCCTCTGCCCAGGAGTTCCAGCAGTTAACTGTGTGCTGAGTGTAATTTGACCTGCTGCTTTCTTTTTTTCTTTCATGTTTTCTGCAGAATTATAAAAATCCCGGACTGTCATGAAGCTCTATGCTTTCAGATACGGGGGGCAGCACCACCCTACATCCGTGCTGTGGGCAGAGGTAAGCAAGGGGTGTACGATGTCACTCTGGATTGCAGTATTGAAACACACACAGCCAAACAAATCCCTGTGACCGAAGAAGAGCCACATTATATTGCCCCAAGACCACTAAAACACTATGTAGAAGTCTCTAGGAGCTCCAGTCACAGAACAGGATCCTGTTGCACTTGTGGCTTTGTACAAATACAGAGCAATGAGAAAGACCTGTTCCCAAAGAGGTTGCATTCAGGATTCAGTTGAAGCATTGCTTCACTATTTCAGCAGGGTATTAAATGGCTGCTCCCACCTACAGGAAGCAAAACGTGTTTTGGCTCAATGCTAGGAGAAACGTGTTGTTAGACTGTGGAAGGGTTGTTGAGGAAACTTCATCACTTGAGCCACTGCAGCCAATGCCCAGTAGGAATCACTTCTCTGCTCTCCGGTGGATGGATCATCTCTCCAATGTTCATGCCCTTTGCAATGATGCATTATATCAGCTTTGGGGACAGCTTCTACTTTTCACACCAGTTTGTACTGCTGAAACTCCACTGGCTTTAATGAGTTATGCCTAACTTATGCCTATAAGCAAGAGATGAACTGGGGCCCTTCCTCAGTTCTTTTAAAAGGAGAAAGCATAGCATGGGTCACAGAGGCTATGTCTACACTGCAGTGTTATTTCAGAATAATTGACGTTATTCCAAAATAACAGTCACGTCTATAGGGCAAACAGTTATTTTGACATAATGTTGACATAATGTCGAGCTGGAGGACTTCTTACTCCGATTCCTGTAACCCTCATTTCCCGAGGAGTAAGGGAAGTCGGAGGAAGAGTGCTCTTTCTCAGACTTCCTGCTGTGTAGACAGCGCCAAAAGCTGAAATAAGCTATTTTGACTTAAGTTACACAATTGACGTAGCTCAAGTTGTGTAGCTTATGTTGGCGTTGGTCCTACTGTGTAGATGTGCCCAGAGATATTCATTAATACTGTGATTCAAATGAAACTCTGCTCCTAGATTTATCTTTTGTAACTGCAGAGAGCAAGACCTTTCAGCTGTATCCAGCTTCCTTCCTTCAGTAGGATTGTGTGTATGTACAAATATATAAAGTCAGCATTTAGAAACAATACAAAGACTTATCATCCCATATACAGGCAACAGTACCCTGCATCAAAGCATCCTTTTGTTACATACCTTGAAACAAACACAAAATATAATTTTTAAGACAAAGCTTTAAAGCATTTCCTTTAGCTAGAAATGCTTGCTAGAAAGCTTTCATTTCTGGAGCCTTTACTAGAAAAGAGACTGATTACACTGACTAAAATGATTTGCATCTTAGATAATTGAGCTTAAAAGTAATTATGACTTTAAATATAGGCTTTACGGGCTAAATTCTGATTAGAATTTCATTGGTGTAAATCTACTCAAGCTGGTGAAATTACTCTGGATTTACTCTAGTGTAACTGACATTAGAATCTTGTTCCTGGACTCTGGTAAATTGCCTAATGGGGAAATATTCAGCTTCTTTCAATTAACATGAGATAGGCTGCAAACTGTGTCGTTATGCAAATTTAAACAACATCCTAGCTAATTAAGACTAAAAAGAAAAGACCGTCAAAGATCCTCAAAAGATTAGTTTACCCTTTAAGAATTTCATTAGCTTTCTGCTGTGACTGTATCCAGCTTTATGTAAAAATAGCCATACTGGGTCAAACCAATAGTTAGTCTGTCTAGCTCAATATCCACTCTTCTGTAAGTGGCTGAAGTCTTATACGTTAGAGGGAATGAACAGACCTGGCAATTATCAAGTGATCCATCTCCTATTATCCAGAATTAACTTCTTGTAGTTGGAGGTTTAGGGATGCACAGAGGAGGAGGTTGCATTCCTGACCATCTTTACGAATAGTCATTGATGGACCATGAACTTGTCTAACTCTTTTTTGTACCCAGTTATACTTTTGGCCTTCAGCAGATGGCCATGCGTTTCACAGGTTGACTGTGCATCGTGTAAAGAGATACTTCATTTTGTTTGTTTTAAATCTGCTGGCTATTAATTTAATTGGGTAACCCCTAGTTCTTGTGTTATGTGAAGGGATAAATTTTAAATTCATGTTGATTTAAAAGCGGCACTTAAAAAAAAAGATATTTGTCTTTCAGTCAAAGTGAGAAGGACTCTAATGGGCCAGATTCCCCTGTTTTACTTAAATAGGACATGATCCAAAGGTCACCAACGTGAATAGCAGATATTAGGTATATAAATCAGGATTAATTCCACTGAGGCCAGAGGAGAATCATACCTTATATGTCCACATGCATGAGCTAGCTGGATCTGGATTTTCTGTAATTTTAGAACGAATTTCTGTAAACAATGATCCAAAGTGTTTAGATAAGTATACAGTGTTACATATTTGCTGCCTGTCGATAATTTTTATTATGAAAACCTGGTGTGGTAGCATCTGTCTACCAAGAGGAGGATGAAAATAAAAGTTTAAATTCTTATTCTTATAAAGAATTATAAATTCTTATAATTTGCAACATAAAATGGAAAGTCCCAGTTTCAGCATAGTTGATAAAATATTGTGCATTGTACTTGACAGAAAATCTGCATAAAGTAACCAATCGTTCATGCCTTGCAACATAAGTATTTTCTTTGTGCTACTTCATGGCTTTAAGATGCATTCTGTTTTCACTTTTGAGCACTGAAAGTTGGTAAACAGGCTTATCGAAACGGGTTCTGTGAGTGTGCCTACACTGCAGTTTACACCAGCAGCTGGCCTGGATTGGCTGACTTGGAGATGTGTAATTGTAGAGTGGACATTAGAACACAGGCTGGAGCCTGACTTTTGGGACCTCACCCCTTGTGGGTGTTTAACTGCAGCCTAGACACACTTAACAAATCTTAACATATATTCTGTCAGTCACTGGGTTTTAGGCAGACATAAAGCACTCGAATCCTCTCTCACAACAGTGTATATCAGGAATCACTCCAGTGAAATTCTGTAGGATTTTTCCAGGGCATAACACTCCAGTCTAGGCCTTCACTGTATGATTGTGCCTTCTGAAATCAAGCTAGACACTCCGAGCTGAGTGTGTGAATGAGGGTAGGGGAATAAAGCCAGTGCTTGATAAGTTTTATGAATGGTATTAGATGATGTGGGTGCTTGTGATGGCAGGAGACTGGACTTAATAGGCCCCTTCCAATTCGAAATTATTAGTATCCACATAGGTACGCACACCGGTGTAACTGACTAGCCACAATGCAAAGTACTAGAGAATCAGACAGTCACACAGCAAGGGTACTTCTACACAGCAGGGCAAAAGTCGAATTAAGAGACGCAGCTTCAGCTGTCAATTGTGTAGCTGAACTTGAAATAGTTTCATTCAGCTTTTGGCATTGTCTACACAATAGGAAGTTGAAGGAAAAACACTCTTCCTTCAACTTCCCTTACTCCTCCGGAAATGAGAGTTACAGGAGTTGGAGTAAGAAGTCCTCCAGCTCACCATTATTTTGAAATAGCAGCTTGCTGTATAGAGGCACTCTTTATTATTTCGGACTAACATTGGTTATTCTGAAATGCTGTTGTGTTGACATGCCCCACGTTACTAGAGTGTGATTCACAACCACATCTTACACATCAGCTATGATGTATTAATATATGCACTGAGACTACGTCTACACTAGGAGTTTTTTTCGTCAAAAAATGAGTCCCTCATTTGCATGAGTTGTGATCTCATTTGCTTATTTTCTGCCAATCTGTTTTTGTGCTAGGGGTTTTTGCACAAAAACAAGCAGTGTGGACGTTTTATTTTTGCGCAAAAACCCCTTCTTCGGCAAGATCCTTTACCCCAAAAAAGGAGGTTTACTGATCTTTTCACTCCCTCGGTTCTCTTAATCTTTGCTGGGTTTCTAAGCTATTTGAACTCTCCTCTGGTCTGTCCCTAATCCAGGTTCCAAGGCTGCAGCTGTGGGACTCCACTCAGGGCAGTGTATTTTGAAAGTGAATGGGAATAATATGATGAATGAAAATTACACTGAGGTCCTTGAGCACTTTACAGCATACAGGACTGGTGAGTAAATACATGTGTGACCTAGATGGAACTTAACATTGTGAGGGGAAAAATAATGCAAGGGTCTTACACAAATGTGCTCCTTAAATATTTAAAAGCAATCTCAGAAAGTACATTTTCACTTATCCACCTGCCCCGTGGCGCTCAGCTGTAATTAATGGAGGTCGTAGGGGTGAATCCCTGAATAGAATTTACCCCCTAGGTGTAAATACATGTGTGACCTAGATGGAACTTAACATTGTGAGGGGAAAAATAATGCAAGGGTCTTACACAAATGTGCTCCTTAAATATTTAAAAGCAATCTCAGAAAGTACATTTTCACTTATCCACCTGCCCCGTGGCGCTCAGCTGTAATTAATGGAGGTCGTAGGGGTGAATCCCTGAATAGAATTTACCCCCTAGGTGTAAAATATGTGTGAATCACAAGTATTCCAGTCCACACACATCTAAAGATTGCTTCCCAGATAATAGCAGAGGTAGGTTTGAGCTACAAAATTTAAACACAGATTCATATTTTATACTCCTAAATTTCTGGGGGGATTGAATCCGGATTCAATTGAGGGCGGGGGGCTGGACTCGATGACCTCTCGAGGTCCCTTCCAGTCCTATAATTCTATGATTCTATGATTCTACTTCAGCCCACTTTGGAGATGGGGATCAGCTGCAAAATTCACATATATACCTGACGGGTACTGAATGAGGGAGTTTGCTGGACTAGCAAAGGTTAATTCCGTCCCCTCTGCTTCTGGACTCCTGGCTCTCCCAGGGGGCCACTAGCCTTCCAGCCAGGCTCCCCCCTGGCCACTGACTCCTAAGCTCCCCTCATGGCCCTTGACTCTGGCCACTCAGGTCCACTCCCAGCCCTGACCAGGCTCCTGGCCACCAGCCTGTTTGCACCTGGACTTCTAGCCAACGCCTGCTCCCAGCCACTGGGGCTCTCTGGTCCAGAGAGGTTCAATCTGTACATCCAGGTTTATATTACCAACCTATACCCCTTCCTCAGAGCATTCAGGTGTTTCTGTCTAGGTTATTAATTCTTAGGCTGTGGTTGCAACAAGGTTTCAGGTGCCAGTAGAGTAAACTCAGGCCTCACAGACAGCACACAAACCCAGACTGCTAGAGGACAAAAACTTCACAGTCATCATCAAAAGGTTTGAAATCCATGTGAGAAGAAAGTGTGAAATGCAAGTATATCCCCGATGAAGCTGAGTCCACTTTTCATAATATTTCTGTTCTTCTGAAAGGGCTTGTACCAGTGGGTGTACCGAACACATGAAGATGCTGAAGAGGCCAGAGCTCAGCAGTCAGCATTTAATGTGTACTTGAATGGCAGCCATCATGAGCCCGACAAAGGACAGCTCTCCATTGAAGGAAGTGGAGAACTGGAGCCCCTTCATAAAAGCCAACAGGAAGCAGGTAAAGGAAAGTCCACTTACTTTCATGAAGGAAGAATACGTAGGCAGGCAAGTCAGGCTTTTTCTAATTACTTGGGAGAAAAAAAGGGGTGGGGTGGAAAGACAAAATGCAATTATTGCTGGAGAAAATCTCTCATTCTAGCAAAATGTGCAGGGAGCTGCAGCTTCCCAGACGAAATATTGTCATGCTGCAGTTTATTTGGGAGGAACATGAATTTGGGAGGTGAGATGGCAATCTCACTGCTGTGGCTCTCAACAAAGAGGACCGTCCCTTGCTCTGAACAGAAGAGACAGCATTAATCAATTATGAGACAGCATTAATCAATTATGAGGTGCCTAAGGGTACTTCTATAAGTACCAATGTCACAAAGCTAGGCAGGCAGAAGAAAAAAAAACCTTTTTGACTTGGGCCTCACCTGCTGAGAAAGTACGGACTAACTGGAGTTGTCTAGTTGGTAGCTGTGACGTCAAGCCTCAAACCAGCATGATTTTACAGTTTCTGAGTTCGGGGTCAAGATGCATCACATTGAGCCCCTCCCCCATGCAGCTCAACTTCTTTGGGTAGTTCTCCTCACTTAGTGGAAAGCAGTGTCTGATTCGCTCTGGGTCTATAAGACAGTCAAGAAGCCCTTCAAGGGGACTCAGCTGGAGTAAGGGACCGTGGGATATAGTTTACTGGCCACCAAAGGGTGAGCTAAAACTGAGGAAAATGAAAGGTTAAAATGACAGAAGATTCTTTCTCTTGAGACATCTGGTCCCCATTTGGTATTTTGGCCATGTGGTTCCCATCATGGGCATTAGACTGTGACTAAAACAAAGGTGGTATTTATACTGAACAGAAAACTTGAGTCAGATTTAACATGATTCTCTAGCATGGCACAATTTAACTAGAGCAGGTTCTGGCTGCCCAGCTCATACAGAGAAGGCCTCTGTGCCATATTGGCCTCAGAAGTATTCCTGACATGCCTCCAGTGAAGGATGTACACAAAGCATTTGCAAAGACTAGGACCTCAGCAAGAATCAGGCCTTCTGTGTTTATTTCTTCCACATGTTGTCTGTGTTTTTTAGCCTGCTATGCCAAATGGAAACAGATTGACATCTCCCCCACCTTACCCTACAGGACAGACACTCGTTCTTGAAGTTTCTGGAGGGAACACTTTTGATAACTGTGTGGTATCATCTCCTACAAATTAGGAGCTGGGTGATGGCAGCAGAAGAGGGAGGGAGAAGTGTTCCATGGAGCTGCCTGGGTAATATGGCTGCAAATTAAAAGCCTGCAAGTAACTCCAGCTAGAATAAGACCTTCTTTGTAATTTAAGTGACGTGGATATTTAGAGGGTGTGCTAATAGTGTCAGCAGCATTTCTGGGTACATCTCATTCTACAGGCAACCTTCCCCTTAGCTTGACAGATTATAACTATACATAAAAAGACTAACTAGATATTAAGATACTGATAGAGAAAATTGATTGATGTGGGAGAATATTCCCAAAAAACACTCAAAGCAAATTCACTCCGCGGGGTATAAGTCCAGGCTTGCTGGACGCCTGTTAACAACAGAACTGGGATCAGATACACAGCATCGCAAGTCGCATGCAGACGCTGATGCACCAGAGTATCTGAAACCAAATACTGCAGCTGTTAAAAACAGGGACTTGCACAAGAGGAGGGCAAACAGGGACATTCCAATAATTATTGGGAACCTAGAACTTCTCCACCCTCGGGGTTGCAGAAGTAGGGAAGATCACTACTGAGCTAGGGCTGGGGCCAGAGCTGGGTGGAGGGAGAGAAGACTGAGCTCCTGCATCGGTTAGAAAGGGGGAAATGAGCCTCGAGGCAGAGAGGGGGATCAACTTCCTCCTGAGAGGGAGGGCAGAGAGCTGCCCCAGAGCTGAGGAGAGGGGTGACAGCGAGCTCCTTCCAGGGCTGGGAGCAGAGAGGGGAAGCAAGCTTCTCCCCAAAAGGGGTTACATTTAAATTTCTGCCCATGCCCCATGCCCCTGCTCCTAAAAGGTAGGAGATGGTCCAGAACACGTCCCTCCTCCCCCCGCCCCGGGACAGGTCGCTGCAAGATGCAATTCTAGGCTGTTTCTGCTGGTGAAGTTGATACTTGGTGAAATTCATGGTGGCCTTGGAGAGGAGGTGGTGACAGCACTGAATGCCCTGCCCCAGGATGACTCTCCCTCTGGCACAGCTGCACCCACCCAGGAGAGCCTGGAGCATTAACTGCAGTTTGAAGCATAGTGGTGCCAGAGCTTCACGCATTTCATCCAGGACATTGAGGGCTATTGTAATTCACCCCCCATTTGAGAGCCCCAGCCAGGTACCATGATCTGTACCATAAATGTATCCTGGGCAGAGCTGGAAGCAATAAGTCTCCTGCATGTGCATGCACATGTGCAAACCTGCATCTGTGTATGTGGGCATTACTGAGGGTTGGTCCAGTAATGATTTGCCTTTGGTTCCAGTCTCTCCGTTGATCATGAGCGAAGACATGCCTCTCATTAGCTTGACTGTGGATAATGTCCATCTGGAGCACGCCGTGGTGTATGAATATGTCAGCACTGCTGGGATCAAGTGTTTTGTCTTGGAGAAAATCGTAGAGCCGAAGGGTTGTTTCAATCTGACTGCAAAGGTACCTGCCACACGAGTTCATTAGAATGCACCGGCATCGAGTAACTAACTCCTGTTTGCTACAGGCGAGTTCCACTGACTCGCCCTTCGTTTCAACTTTTTGGGGACTTGAGTCAAGCCTCTGTGGCTGGAGTGTCCTCAGCTGGGAACTCTCCCAGTCAAACTCTCCCTTTTTTATCTGTCCATGAGAGCAGGAGTTTGCTGCTCCTCTGGGCAAAGGTGAGATCCATCCCTTCAGGGAAGCATTTGCTTCATCTTGAGATAAGATTATGAAGGCTTTCCCACATCAGACAGCTTGAGTTGGTTGACACAAGGAATGGATATGATTGCTGCCCACTGTGGGCAAGAATGATCGGTAGTATCTTTTGGTGCTTACTACAATGGACCAATAATAAATGTCTGTATCAAGGAACAATAACGGTATTGGCACGGCCATGATAGGGACAAAGCAGAAGTAACAAGAGAGGGAAAACGAGTCAGAGAAGGAAAATATTTCCTGTGGCAAAGCGACTGTTTTGAGCACATGAAATATATTTTTAAAACTTCTGGCCAAAGGTTTGCAGTGTTGAGTTTAGGCATGAATCAGAGGGCTAATTAGGCAACAAAAGGCTGGATTTATGTTAAATGCCACTTTCCTCAAACATGCCAAAATGTGGGCTGTACATAGTGCAGTGGAAGGATATTGCAGTATTCCTGGCTCTTGGCACTGTACCACTGAAATTTTGTCTCCTTCTTCAGATTTTACAAGCCTTTGCTGTGGACGACAGTCACTTTGTGAAGAACTGCAAGAGGCTCATCTCCCAGAGCAGAGCTGTGGAGACCATGCCTGAGTACGATTTCCGGCAAACCTGTGACACTAAGCTGGAGAGTATCTGCAAAAGGCTCACCAGCTACTACCAGGTGCAGTATGATAACCATCAGTCGTGTAGCTAGACAATGCT